AGGACCAGCACTGGGCAGCACCTCGCAGCTGGCACCGACTGCAGCTCCCGTGGTTTTGTCTTCTTTCTTTCTAATAACAGGCTCATTCTCCTGTTCCTCACGGAGGACACGCCTTCACTCCACACCAGGAGAGGGGGAGGGGGTGTGTGTATTATAAATTTCCTATTTTTCTGATAAAACTGTGTTGCTACGGCGGAAATCAAATCCCGTCGCCGATATTTTTAGCCTGAAAGCGTGAAGGAGCAGTGATGCTGAGGGAAGGGAGGACAGCGTGTGGCGGAGGGGAGGGTCTCCATGGAAACTGTTTTCTTTAAATTCCTGCATTCAGGGCACCAAGCGTGTAGGAGGTGATGAGGGAAATGGAAAAGCAGGGAAAAAAAAAAAAAAGAGAAGCTTTTTTCCTTTCTGTTGTCACAAAACTGCTGTAGGAACCTTAAGAGAAACAGGCATAAATTATTGATCATTTCAATGCGAATACATGTGAATTTTAATTAATAATCACCCTGTCGTGTCTCTCAAGTGTGGTGGGTGGGGATGAGCAGGCAGCAGCCTGTGACTGACCAGCCTGTGCTGGAGCAGCCTCAGTTTGTTGAGAGATGTCTTTGAAAAGGGTCTGCTCCTGCATCCTGCCCTCCTCCATTTACCCCTCGGGATGCTTCCTGCTCTGTGCCAGAGCTGTTGGGGAAAAGAGCCAGCCCCCGGGGGCCAGGGGGTGAGGCTCCTGTTGCAGGTGATGGGTTTGGGTTGGGCTGAATACTTGTGCTCATGAGAGGATTTTGTATTGTTAGGGTTTTGTAAGGTATGAAATGTGCTGTCAGCCAGGCTCTCTGGTTATCCCTGAAATGCTGACAGCTGGTGAGCATGAAGAGTTGGGCTGGGGGATCCATGGACCTGCATCCCCCTCCCCACCCACCCAGAAGAGGCAGGGGATGGGGCTGGTGTGGCTGGGGGGGGGGGGGGGGGGGCATCCCCCTCCCCACCCACCCAGAAGAGGCAGGGGATGGGGCTGGTGTGGCTGGAGGCGCTGGGGGAGCTGGGCCCGGCGCGCCAGAGGGCTCTGCTGACACCAGGCAGCCAGTCTCCCTGCAGCACAGAAAGTTATTTTTAATTCATTGAAAAGTGAATGACCTAAAACCAGCTGGTGATGGAGAAGATTAATAGTGCAGAACAGATAAATTTTCAACTGAGTGAGGGAGAAAATGCCGCCTAGTGCAGGGTGCACATCAACACTGCCTGGCCGTGGCCTCTGCAGGTCCTCAGCTGCTGCTGCAGCTTCTGCTCCAGGTCCATCCAGGTGTGTTCTCCAGGTGACGTCTGCTGACGCCAGGCTCAGCCGAGGACGTGGCAGTGATGCTCACCACTACAGGAATGAAAGCCCCTGCTGGACCTGGGGCTTGGCTCAAGCTTCTGAGCCAGATTTGCTTCCAAACATAAAGTTTCTCAGTACTTGAGCATGTTTAATTTTGGCTGTGGCATCTGTCTGCAGCTGTGGATGCACCTACCTGTGAGAAAGGAGACAGCTTTTGGCTTAATTTTTCAGGGATATGTTGTTTTTATTACATTTGTTAGACCCAGTGTCCATTTCTTGAAATTGCAAATCAGTTTCTGGTTCTGCAGGATCCATGGAGGTCTGGCAGGTTTGCAGCAGCATGGGTGGGATCTGCCTTGTCTGGGTGTTCCTTGGCTGCCTTTAACCCACGTCCACAAATACCTGTCCGGCCCTTTAGGAGGCATTTGCAGAACATGGTGGTTGTAGGAAAGAGATCTGGATCAGGTGGATGTTTTGTTCACTGACATTTTGCTGATTTGATTTCTGAGATTCTAGCTTAACTGCAGACTCTTTGCAATGGTTTCCCTTATGCAAGGGACTTTGTGGTCCTTTCTATTCTGGCTGGTTCGTTGAGCAAATCTGAGGTTAAAGAACTCTGTGGGAGTGAGTGGTTTGTTTTTTGTAGTTGGTGCTTGTTTAGCAGCAGCATCAGAACCATGTCTGTGCTGTGGGAGCAGTCACTGCTCTCCTTTCCTGTTCTGCCACAACGAGGGGACCCAGCTGTGTTGTGGTGAGCCCAGGGCCGTGCAGAGCAGGGAGGCTCTGTGCATGCAGTGCAGGGACATCCTGGGCTCAGCAAACCCAGCCTGGTCACCTCCACTCCGTATTGGATGTGAAATGGTGATCCAGAGGCTGCACATCCTGTTGTCTGATGGACTGTAAACCTGTTGGCAGAGAAGCAGACTGTTAAAAGAGGTTTTAAAGAGCGTGCAAGAACAGCAGAAGCAACCAAGAAGTAAGTGTAGATCCTATTGCCTAAGGGAAACCAGAAAAAAGAACACCTGGAAACCTTCCATGACCTGTTTTCCTGGTTGCTAAGTGGGAACTGTATTTAACTGAGAGTTCAGACCCAGCTGAGAGGGGAGATATAAGTGATGTGTAGTAGTTCAGGGTCTGTTTGGTGACTGACACCCCCAGCAGACACTGTAGTGCCCTGGGCTGTGGCTGGTCTAGGCAAGGGCAGAGCTCATCCCTTCTGCACCACGTTTATGCCTTTTTATTGACGCTGGTAGCAGGCAGTTGCAGCCTTTCTGGCCTGTGCCCACAGAGGCAGTCTGAGGGAGAGGGCTCCATGTGAGGGAATGAAGCCTTGGAGCTTTCCAGCCCCATGCCCAGGTCCAGCCCTGTCCCAGCCCCATCACGCTGGCTCAGCAGGACGGGCTGATACTGGTCACCTCCTGGGTCTCACTTCTGTAGCACCATCTCCATCTGTGGTGAAATCATCTCCCTGAATCTATCAACAGCAGCCAAGCACTGTAAATTAATTAAGATGAACTTCAGAATGCATTCGCCTGTCACTGCAAACGTTCTTCATGCTGGAGAGGTGGGACAAGATGGGGAAGATGCACGAATATTAATGGGAGCAGCCTGGAGTTCATCACTCACCAGCCTGCAGCCATCTGGATGTTCACAGCCCAGCAGGTGTGGTGGGAGCCTTGCATGCCATCGGGGATGGGGAAGATCCAGGGAGTGAGCAGGAATTGTCCCCTGCAAGACACGGAGCAGCAGAGTCAGGGATGGTCTGTGCCTGAGGGCTGGTTCCCACTGCCACAACCCACCTGCCCGGGAGGTGGAAGAGGCAAAGCCCCGAGTGAGCTGCAGCACGGCCACCATCTGCCAGATCAGGGGGTGTATGTGCTGGATCGGGGGTGCCTGAGGGGGGGCTGGGGGCAGTGGTGAGCGCTGGTGAGCAGCCGCGGGCCGAGCTGCCCTGTCGGTGCCGGGGGAATGCAGAAATAAGAGGGAAAAGAAGTGC